GATAGCTGGGTTGCGATGATTTTAAGGTCTTGTTAGTTATCTTAAACTTGAGTAAAAGTATATTGTCTGAAACTGTTGTAAACCCTCCCTTGGGGTTGGTAGTGTGTCTCTTAGGTATTTGGGTTGATTTGGTTATTGTTTATGATGGTTGGGTTGCAATGATTTTTAGGTATTCAGCATAACCACACTTAAAACCAAACCTAAAATTCACTTTTAAACAAGCTTACAATTTTACCTCCGATGGGACCTGATGACGTCATGGTTTTCCAAAATCAATCAATTATTCAATATTATGAAATATTTTATTTAAATTTACAGTATTGTTTAAGTGTTTCAGTTCAAGTACAACTATGTCTACTAATGTTAAAAGAAGTTTAATAAAATCCGCAGAGAAATTTGCCGTATCCATAGTCAATGGATGCACGCAGCTGCGCCGTACACGGTACTGTACAGTACACAGTGTACTCAACGCAATGCACGTAAAGCTCCATAACTCAGTTTAACAAGAAGGTCGTCTTACGTTCCAGACGGTGATAAAAGCGCAATTAAGTGCAGCGACTAGCGGGTAGCGAGCGACGGCCGACGACCACGCTTCGCTTTATGATTGAAATTTATTAGTATAATCAGCGAGGGTGCGGTGGCCGGGCTGGCAATCAATACTCTAGTCCTACATATTGGAGAACGAGTGATTGGGGCCTGTAGTTGTCTATGTGAACACTACTTCCTTTACATTGCAGTCCCGCTAGGGAGAAGCTAAACTTCATCGAGATAATATGGAATGGACAGTTTTTTCAACTACAGTATAGGGTTGTCTCAGTTAAGAGGTAGACACATGACTTATATAATTGTATTTAAATACACGAATGGAAGATAAGTGTGGGTTGAGTAAGATATCTTCTGCAGTATGATCACACTAATGTAACATGTTTATTTGGCCCGCTTCAGCAAAACCGTTTCATCAAATAAAAGTGTAAACATTAAGTCACTTAAATTTTTAAATGTACCGGAACATCCATATATTAGATAGAAAAAACACCCATCTACTTTAAATCTTAATCCAAACATGTGTTAATGAGTTCAAATTTGTAAACAAAAAGCTACCATTTAAAAATAACTCCAAAACATTTATAGGCCTACATTGTAATGATACTTCTGTTTCCATAAAAATTTACCAAATAAAAATATTTTCATAATCTTAAAACTATATAATCTTGGAAGCAGAACGCGTACTTCTTAACATCTGCTCTTTGAAATGACAAATTAAAGTATGTGACCCCTCCCTTCCATGTAAATGTTTATGATGGTTAAGTTGCAGTGATTCTAAAGTCTTGTTAGTTATCTTATACTTGAGAAAAAGTATATTGTCTGGAACTGATGCAAAACCTCCCTTGGGGGGTTGGTAGTGTCTCTCTGATCTGGAGAATGAATTAATTTGAAACTGACTTCAAATTAATATTTTTGACAATTTACATTCTTCAAAAATGAAAACATTGGAACTTTGAAGGCCCATGGGGCGTAGCCCAAGAGAAATACAAGAACAGGAATAGGCCTATATGTTGACCAGGTATATCAGCTACCTTCATACGGAATTTTATTCAAATCGGTTCAGTGATTCTTGTGTTATTGAGTAGCAATTTACAGCGATAACGTGAAAGGATAAAAATTACTCTGAAAGTAGTATACTGTACATGTTACATCTCAGATCCTTATTCAGATTATCAGTTAATCGCGACAAAGAAACTGTAACAGCAGCTAAAATTCATTCGAAATCAATCATGGGGTGTTACCTCCAGAAGATAAGGCAAGCAAATATATCTCAACAAATAAAAAAAAAATCGCAACCTTTTTTTAAAATAACACATCACAATTAAATGAAAAGTAGGGCACGCTAAATAGTCCGCTAAACTCTCAATCGAAGTTTAATAGTCCACCGTGTATTTTTCCACCGCATTTTATCCGGCGTATTTAAATCCGCGATAATATTATCACACCCTCTCTAATTGATATTCGACACTGGTCAAACTACGCGCCCGTCACACCACAGAGCGTTAAGTGTAAAACGTGGGCTAGTTTTAAACAATCAGTTTTACCCAGCCGTAATGTGTGATTTGCGGACTTGGGTAATCAATTGTTATATATTGGCCCACTACACCGTGGTGAACTGAAGGGCTCTTGGCATCGCATCAATACGACACAATTACGCTTTGTCGCAGCTTTCGGCTTGTATTCACAACGGTTGGGCTAATGGGGTAGATTATAGGTAATCGGTGGAAAACCGGACTTTTCTCGGACGTGTAGGAGATATTTATTATATTTCTTGTATTTTGCATGCGTTAACCACTCCTTTATCGCTATTCTGTAAAAGAACTTACATTTTGAATTAGCATACTGATTTTTATACAGTAAAAGGTTGAAAAATACTTACGTAACAAATTTTAAGATCTGTCCCCCCATATATTTACTTTGGAAAGATAACCTGGAAGTGTCTTGGCTATCAAAGTGGAGTATTTTGACTGTCCTTGTGTTTTTGGGGGGTTTGTAACTTTATTTTGGTCATACAACTTTCCTTTTAGCGAATTTCCCATATAGGGAATATTTTTAGGTTCATACAGGTGAAACCCTAATTTTGCCTGCTTCGGTTTAGCTATTTAACATTAACATTCGGTTATTTAACATTAATTTTAGTAATAAATCTTAATGAACATGAAATCAGAGTTTACATTCATATAATGTTACATTTACAAGAATCGTAACTACATTACTTTATTATTATTATATATTTACTCCACAGCATTTATAACTATGGGTACAATATATAAAAAGAAACGGAAAATTTAAATAAAAAATAACTATTAATAGGAAATGCACTTTAGCATACTTATTAATGTTGTATTCTTCTGTAAATATTTTATTTTATATTCCTCCAAGTAAAACGGTAAACAAAAATATTCATTTATTCCGAAAGTAAATAACAAAAGCAGACATACTTTTATAAATTCTCTTAACATTCATACAAAGCTTAGTGCGGAAATTTACTGATATTCTTAGGAATATTTGTGTAAAACATATATTTGCAAGGTTAAGCGTTAAACATCTTATATCTTACAACCAAAGGAACTTGATGGGCTAAAATTAAAATTAAAAGTTTGTAATAGTTTCGGGGGTACAAAACGGAACCTGTATTTTGATTAGTTATTTCCACGGTGCCCCCGCTGACAAACGTACATCGTCGAATATAATCGCTCTCCGAGGCATAACGAGCAAAACTCCATGAATCATGTTTCGACAAGTCATCCAGTTTAATTTGATGCTACAAACGAAGATGTTTTAGCCAAAGATGTTTCAATACATTTCGGAACTCGTAACAGAAGTGTTCCATACTTGACAGTCTTCAGTCTATGCTAATGCTAATTTTAGTGCAGCATGCCTGGTGTGTTGTAGTGATTTTTCCCCTGTAGTTGAAACATTGGTTCTGTAAGCATTTTCAATGGTGGTTTATTTTTCTGAAATTTATTTTCAATAGTAGTGATGCTTTTTCGTAGTGATGTTATTTGCGTTATGGGGCCCCTAAAGTAGAGGCTAGTCTGATTTTCATAACATTTTGTTGGTTCCAAATCGCAATACGTCTTGCTTGGATGTATTTTTGGTGGATGTTCCATAAAAAAGAAATATAAGAATGTCACAATGCTATAGACTAAATTTACAAACTTATTACTATGAAGAAAATTACATAATATATCATAGAAAAAACTACTGTTTAAAGATTTTATCGGGCTTCGTTTACCAAACATATGGTATTTAGTTAACTACCATATTTGGTGCAAAATATATTTGACCAAGGGGCCAGATTCAGTTTTTGAACTCTAATACAAAGCTAAAACGATTTACAGAAACATCATCGGGTTTGTCGATGCAAAGCCAGATCCTCCTCTCTAATTCAAGTGTAAAAGCTGGATATGACTTCAAAAAACATGCTAATATCAAGAAGTATTCTAATAACATTTCTATATAGCGACTTTTTGACGTGCACTAATGTTACAGACTCAGTTTCTTTTGGGGCCGCGGATGTCTAGTGTAGTGGTTGTAGTGGTTGAAACTACTATCCAGGTTCATACCCCGTTAATCACCATGACTTTCTTATACATTGCGTTGATCGTGGTTCGGAGTCCGCAATAACTAGTAGGTTTACCTATATATACAAACAATAATAGGACCCTTTCGATGAGTATTTTATATGTACTAAAAGATCTGCCTAGAATGCATCTGCTACAATTTTGATACATAAGTTGATGTACGTTAAGAAGTATACATAGTAAGGTGTAGCGTGTCAGTCTTATCCATTTATTACAAGTGAGCAACTCGCGATTGCAGGGGGGGGCGGTCACACACGGTCTATTGATACAGCTATTTTGTTTCCAGTTCATACACTAGTGTGCCGTCAAATAAAACAATCCGATTTGTTTATCTGTTAATTTATCATCGGGTAATGCATTGCTGTCTAAACGTGTCAGCGTTTTTCATCCCGCGATCGGTTTCGCCAAATAAATTATATTTTGTCATTATGCGATGTCGGTTCTGTTTTGTTTAGTCCCCGACCGTGGCGCTGTCTGGCACTTGTTGGCTTACATTTCAACATAATGTCGACGATATGTTGTACGCGATTGGTCCGATTATCGTTTTTATTTCCTCGTGGTAATTTCACAAATCATCCCCTACGGAATGTGTTTTTACATGTTTGTGTGATACTGATTTGACGGTATGAGGCTAGACTGCGAAAACCCCCTCACAAAAACTTACAACAACTAAGTGCTCGGAAGTACACTTACGGAATAGGACAATTATTTTATTCTAAGGAATTTTGTTGTACAGTACTCCAGGAATTTATAGTTGTTGAGATAGTCATTTTTCTCCCAGCCCTTCAAAGAGGTCCAAGTTTTAGTTTTTTCAAGCCTGATATCTTTGAGCAAGCGTCTACAATTGAATTAACCTGTTATAAGACAATTTTGGCCAAGATAAATGCATTATCGTCCACCATCTTCGATTTCTCAGTCGTTTTAAAATCTCCTAACTCGGGACTGTTCCCTTTGGCAACTTCTAATAGTCTTCATTTTGGTAATTCTTAGTAGAGATGTGATTTTTACTTTTCACCTTATATTTTGTTGGCACAAAGGTTTTTTTTAGGTTTTAATTGCAATGTTAGAGCTCAAGTCAAACCACCAGACACAGTCTCACTGTAATCTTACGTTTCCAAGTTCTTGAG